AAAAAAAAAAAAAAAAAAAAAAAAAAAAAAAAAAAAAAAAAAAGTAAAACTTGAAGTTTTGAAAATCAAAGTCATGTAGTTCAGTCAGAGGAAATCAGACAGAGAAGTCTACCTGGTAAGCCAAGTGGAGGGGGGGGCATCCTGAGAAGGAGATCCAAACCCTTAGGGCTGTCTCAGTCAACTAGACAGTATCTTTGGCCAACCATTAATGGAGGGCTGCCCTTGTCCCAGAGTTAATCAATATTATCTGCAAAGAGCCAGACAACAAATATTTTAGGCATTGGAGTCTATTTGGTCTCTGTCACATCTATGGCACTATTGCTACTGTGGGAAGGTAGCCAATGATAATAAATGTGGCTGTGTTTCAATAAAACTTTATTTATAAAACCAGGTAGAATGATAACTTTGGCCCATGGCTCTGTATAGCCTTCTGACTTCTACAGGCAATCCTCAAATTGGCATGGCTGTTGGGTTTGGTCAGCTTCCAGCACCATGGCTGGATAGAGCAGTGGCAGGACAGGATACATCAGATAAGTCTGGACAAGTGTCCAAAGGCCTGCACAAGCCTGAGTCTTCAGTCTCTGACAGAATCCTTGGGAGGTCAGGTCAGGACAGGTGGCTCACAGAGAGGCTCTATCTGAGGGGCAGGGAGCTGAGCTTTAGGGGTTGGTTCATTCTGGTTGGGTTTTGTTATAGTTACTACTTGGAGGTTACCATAGAGTCAACTCCTGCCACAAAATTACACTGGGGATACGGTTAAGCCCCATCCTTAAGGTTGAACTTGGAGTCTCTCTTAAGAACAGAAAGTCTCATGTCTGTCTCAACGTTTGAGATGCACTGAAAAGGCGGGGTCGGCTGGTGATTGCTTGCAGGAGGGGAGCACTGCCAGTGGGGGTCTGTGGATGCCACCCCGCTCTGAGACTTGGACCCTGCGATCACACTGACTCTCCACACAAGCTCCCTGCCTCTGTGCTGCCTCTGGACTCTGTCACGTGCCTCCTCCAGCAATCTGCACTCGGCAGTGGGTACCTGCTCCCCTCACCTTGTCCTTTGGTTATTTCTCCCACTCTTCTCTTTCAGAGGGCCAGTGCCAAGGCGACAAGTCAATGTTCTGTAGGATGGAAGTCTTGTCTCGCTATTGCTCCATCCCCAGCTACAACAAGCTCTGCTGCAAGTCCTGCAACCCGCCCGGCAACCTCAGCCTCACAGAGGACGCAGGCGTGGACCCTCCACCGGGGAAGCACAATGACATCGATGTGTTCATGCCCACACTTCCGGGACCCACGGTAGCTACACAGGTGCAGCCTTTGTCAGGGCCTCCCTTGGAGGTCCCCCTCAATGCCTCCGGCATCAATGTCACGGAGGACCACCCAGAAACCAATGCTGTGGATGTTCCCTACAAGATCCATGGTGTGGATGAAGAGGTCCAGTCTACCAACCTGATCCCTCGACGACCAAGCCTGAATGTAAAGACGAGGAACCAAAGAATCCAGGAGCTCCTTAATGCGGTGCAGAGAAAAGAGAAGGCCGGAAAGTTCTAATAAAATGGAAAGATTCGCATCAACAGCTTTTTCCCCTTGCTTATAGCTCTATTCCATGGGATGGCAAATCCTGTGTTGTGCTTCCGAAAGGTTTGGAAAATAGTACAAAAGGATATATATGGAGAGGGGTGGGCATGTGACAACCAGCCTAGCATGTATTTTCCAGGCTAGGAATGACCTAAATCTTGTGGTGATCTTAGGTTTAGAGTGGAATATCCAAGTTCCCTAGTTTCTATCAATGTTGGGAGGTCAAGAGAAATGACTCTGAGAGAGAAAAAAACTTGGCTCCAACTTACTAAGCAGTAGTTGAGAACCTCCATTTCCTTGGTGATAGTCCCCAAGGCATGAGACCACTGGGGATGATTGAGTGACATGATGTTTTATTTAATAGATCAGTTGCCAGGTTGAGTACACTGAAGTGGAGGTCATGAGCCAAAATGACCTCAAAGGCCAGGCAGATGAGTGGATAAGTGTGGTAGCTAGGAGTGGACTTTAACCAACCAGAGAGCAGCATCTATCTAGGGCTGTTGGTATGTTCCAACCAACCAGAGCACAGCATCTATCTAGGGCTGTTGGTAGACTCCAGCTCTAGCTGCCAGTGTGACGTTTCTGCCTTACCAGCCTGGCCTTGTCCTATGTTGCACAACCAGCGATCTGGGTTTCCTGTACTCAAAATATATTAACTTGCAGGGGTGGGAGTAGGAGAAGACCTGGGAGTTTTAGGTCTACACCTGCCAGGCTATAACCGCTGGTCTTTGTTTTAATTATTACCTAGTTGTCTGGTGCAGTTTCAACATCTGGTGCTCATGGTGTACAGTGTTTTGATCTCAGCCGAGCATGGGCTGTGCACCTATCCAGTTCTTTCCAGGGAAGTGATGAGACTCCTATAATGTGGATACGAGGAGAGTTGTAAACAAGGAGCCACTGGGTCAAAGGCATCAAGGATTCTCTCCTCTCCACTCACCTTGGCCTTGTTTGCTGCCTCCCAGGCTCTGGTGGAAGAGCCCCAGTATTCTTCTCTGGCCAGCCTGGGCCAAGGCCACAGAGAAGAAGGATGTCCTTTGCTGGGGTGACCCAGCTTGGGACCCAAGGCCCAGGACTCTCCCTTTCCTGGGCTCCCAGTACCACCACTGGGGTGGTGAGGTACTCAGGTTAAGAGGGTGGGTTTTGCCTGTAGTCTGACCTTGGCCTTGCCCACTTCCAACCTTTAGAAGTTATAGAACCCAACAACACTGTCTGCCATAGGAGGTATAGGGTGGGAGGTGGGAGCCCCACTTTAACTTTAGAAGCTTAGATAACTTCGTTTGTGGTAGAATAGTGTTTGGTGAGCCAGATGTGAAGGGGGGATTAAAAGGGAGCCGCTGGATGATAGGAGGATGCTGAGCTTTGTCTCTCATTCCCTGGCATTTTGTAAGCATGTCACACCAACATCCCCACATGGAAAGACCCAGGGCACATTAGCTCCCTAGCTGGGTCTAGCCTGACCATAATTCTGAGACTTCTAGAAGTTCTGTGTTCTCACCAATCACAGATCTTAGATTATTTTCTCTTATTGACATCCCCCTCCCCAGTCCCGCCAATCAGAGTAAGAATCCTGAGACTTGAGTCGGTGCCCTTATGGCTCATCCTCCACTGAGTTTCAAGGTGCTCAGCGTGCTTGTGTAAATCTGCATGTGCGTGTGTGCGTGGGGGGAGGGCAGGGGTGTCTATGGATGGTCTGTGGAAAGAAGTCAGCACATAGAGACCAGCTGGACTAATGTTTAAGATAGTGCTTAACTTTCTTCCTAGAGGGTGAACAGACCCTGCCACCCTTTCCTTGCCCGCACATCCCACACATACTACTCACTGCCCAGCTCCCAAAGAACCAAACTGGAAAAATGCCTTTGAATATGTCTCCTGGGATGTGGTTGAGAACAGTTCTGCTTTCCTGCCTCCTTGAAGCAGGGAATGAATCCTATGGCTGGCCCCCATTTGTTGAATCCAGGTCAGCTGGGTTTACCCATGGGTTTGTAGAACTGAGTATTTCCCATCTTCAGTAGAATGTAGAGGAATGTTCTAGACTTATAGTAGCCAGGATATGGCTGAGTTTACCCATTCTAATGGCTGTAGGATAGTAACACTCCATTCTCCGATCCCAGTAAAGCAGGGCTTCCTAGACGCCCCATGCTGGAAAGCCCCAGCAAGTCAGATGCCCTGAGGGAGATGAGGTTCCACATGGTATCCTTGGTGTCTTGGGCCAGGGGCCTCCAGGCCTCTATGGAGCTAGTGGTGCTCATGGGAACACAGTGCCCACTGGGCTCAGAGACACTGCGAGTTCCTGAGCATGAGACTATCTGGAGAAAGGACTTAGAAGCAGCCCTAGGCAGTCAAAGCAGCTACATCTGAGGCATTCTTGTAGCCCCAGAGGCAGGTAGGTGTCCTCTGGAAGTCTTCAGCACTGCGTGATCACCCAGACTGTCCTACGTCACCCAGAAAGAACTCCCAAGGCACCTGGGAATTGTTTTTTATTCTTAGGGAGAATCAGGCCACATTTGAAGAAAGTCCCTAGGAAATCCCGTGGAATTTCGCATATAAACCTCACATTTGTGTTTTAAGAGTTCTCTTTTGGGGTCTGTTTTAAGTATATAACTGGTACTCAATAGCAATGTCTTTGTCCGAGGTAACATTCTGACTCTATTTACTCCTGTGTGACAGGTGGCCACCAAATGGAGCCAAACACGGTGCTCAACTTAAATCACATTTTATCTGACAACAGCCATTGATGCGTTTTTGTTCTGTATAGTAAAACTTGACTCTTTACTTTCATAACTTATTAAAGCATCTGTGGTTTTGCAAATCATGACCGTGTTGGTTTGTTACCTTGACTACACTCATCCCCAGCCTAAACTTGGGAAGGAGAGACGTGTCACATTGGCAAGCCTATCTTAGCCATGAGCCCCAGACTCCTGGGGCAGGGAGACATCTAAGAACACTGGCTATGGCTGCTTAAATCAGCACCCCATGGGGGAGAAAGGCATCCTCTTTCAACTTACCTTGGGATATGACTTAGCCAAGAGTCACCTCAACCCAATTACTGTGATCCTTTCTCCTATGAATAGGCTTTCAAGGAGAAAATACTAGTCACTGAGCTAAATTTGAAATCCAGAGAAACAGAAACACTTTTAGAGTAAAATAAGAGACATACAAAAAAAAAAAAAAACAGGAAAATTTTCTGGAATTCAAGCTTAACTGGAAGGCCTGCATGTGTATTTTCTAAATTTAGGCAGCCAACCTGTTAGCAGCATTGCACTGAGGAAGTGTTCTCTCTCACCACTGTGTGCTAGCCAGTATTGGGGAGTGGGGTAGGGAACTGAGGGGCAGACTCCTCTAATTGTGTAAAATCCTTGGGGGAGTGGCTGTGAAAAGAATACGCAGTTGTCAGCTATTGGGTGCTACATACCAGGAATGCCCCATATTTTTAAAGCTTTGTTATTCTAATAATATCTTAGTGTATTAATTTGATAATTTAATAACCCCTGGCTGTAGATTTTAGTTTGTATTTCTACAGTTTTGTCAACTTCTACCTTTTTTATAAAATCACAGGCCACTTCACTATTTTGCAAATATCTAGTTGATACTGCCTTCTTGGTGACATCATTCAATGATGAGGTGACATAGGCATTTGTATGAGCTGTGCAGTTTTTAACATCGTCTGTTTGTTTTAAAAAGTTTACTTATGTATGTGTGTGAATGCCACATGTGTGAGGCCCTGAACCTAGAGTTAAGGGTGGTTGTGAGCCCCCTGGTGTGGGTGCTGAGAATCACACTCTGGTCCTCTGAGAGAGCAGCAAGCATTCTTATCCATTGAACCATCTCTCCAGCCCTCATTTCGAGACTATTCCAGAGCTCATCATTTAGAAAAGGTTGGTCTCTATTTCCCAACTGCCAGGGTTATAGGAGTGTGCTCCCACACCCAGATCAGTCTAACACTTTCCCATCAAAATCCTTGATACCAAGGTCGTTTCTTCCTTCTTGTGTACACTTCTCCATTCTTTTTTCCCTCCTTTCTTATCTTTTTGGCCATGTGCTCCCCTGTAGTAGAAGGGCTGCTTGTTTGTTTCTGGACCGGTCAGCAGTTCAGACCTGAAATAACCACACAGAAACTGTACTAATTAAATCACTGCTCGGCCTATTAGCTCTAGCTTCCTTTTGGTAGCTCCTATATATTAAATTAACTCATCTCCATTAATTTGTGTATTGCCACGAGGTTGTGGCTTACTGGGTAAATTTCAGGCGTCTGTGTCCGGCAGGGCTACATGACTTATGGCTTCTCTTCATTCTACCTTCTTCCTCCCAGCATTCAGTTTACTTTTTCCGCCTAGCTCTGCTCTACCCTATCACAGGCCCAAAACAGAGTCTTTATTAACCAAAGATATTCACAGCATACAGAGGGGAATCCACATCATTCCCCTTGCCTCCACTCCCCATTTCTCCAGTGACACCTGTGAGAGATTATTTAGCCTCTAAGCACGCCTTTGAGGGGTTCTGACTTAGCTGAGGTTGGCAGACCCATCCTGACAGTAGCAGTACCATTACCTGGGCTGGGTCCTGAACTGTGTGAAATGGAGGCTGAGTAGAGCATTAGCATCCCTTGCTCTCTGCTTCCAGGGTGTGGATGCAGCCAGCTGCTTCCAGCCCTGTTGTACCCTTGAACTGTGAGCCAAAACAAACCCTTTCTCCACTAAGTTGTTACAGGAAAAGAAACGAAGACACAGAAAACAGAAGAAAATTCTCCTTGTGCTCTGGCAGGGAGGAGGAAGGTCAGCACTTTGAGAGTGCGCCAGCCTGGTCTCTGAAACAAAAGCTTGTCCCCAAGAGCAAGGTGTTACTGGAAACTTTTAACCAGAGTATGATCATCAGACAGTTCCAGCTCTTCAAGTCTCCTCTCTTTGATGAGAAGAGGGTAGTATAGGGCCATGCTATCCTGAATGTGGCCAATGTTGTCTAATCTTGGAAGACAAACAGGGCCAGGCCTGCTTCGTGTTTGGATGAGGGAAAGGAATGCTCACATCAGAGCCCAGATCTTGGCAACTGCAAATCTGAGATTTTACAGGAAGATTATCAAAGCCCAAAGATGACAGATGCAAAACCCAAAACAAGAGAAAGAGGAGAGGGAGAGATAGACAGACAGAGAAGAAGTGAATGTATCTCTTCTTAAACTGGCAATGAACTATTTACCATGACAGGACATTCTGAACCTCAAAGCATAGCCCAGCAAGTAATGAACAGAAATAATCTAAACTTTTAAACCAAAAGCTGAACTAAACTAGAAATCAGCTGGGAATGTCTTGATACCTTGAGGTTCAACACTGTACATCTAAATTACGCATGGGTCAAAGGAGTCTCAAGAAAATTTAAGGTGCTTTTTTTATATGGGGAAGGGGAGCACATGTGTGTGTGTGTGCAAGCCACAGCCTGCACACAGAGGTCAGAGGGCAACCTCAGGTATCCGTCCACACCTTCTATCTTGTTTGACACATCTCATTTGATGCTGCTGTATAAGCAAGTCTAGCTTAGCTAGCTTGAAAGCATCTGAGGTTCTCCAATGAGGACCAAAGACCAGTGGCTCTCCAGGAATGCTCTAGACCTTTGGTGCTCGGGTAGGGAGGTGGAGGCACTCAGCTTCATGGGATTACTGTGTTCTCGGGCTCTCTGGTGTGAGACAGCTATGGCTGGACTACTCCAAGTCTATCATGTAAGCCAGTCTAGTGATTCCCTTTGAATACAGACCCGATTCTGCTGGTTCTGTGCTTCTGGAAAACCCCAATACAAATGGACTACATACCTGGAGACCAATGTGTGCAGAGATCACGGTGACCACCAAGATTGTATGGACAAATCTGTAGATCCTTTCTTAAGCTTCCTTTTTCTGACATTCTATCCCAAGAGTCTCTGATCCCCGATCTCCTGACTATAAATCCGAGGTTTTAGGTTCTTTTCTCTGCTTCATGTCACATCCACATCAAGCACAAGTAGAAAGAAACAGTGGAAAGAAACTGATGAAGACCTTGCTGACCACCGCTGGCTCACAGCTCCTCTGGCCAGAGAGAGGGGTCGGAGCACAAAGATGTGACTGGCCTGCTCAGCTCCCACTATGCTCCACAGAAATGCTCAGAATGCCAGATTTCTGTTTCACACGTGTTTCCTTCTCTAATCTGCTGCCATTATTTCTGAGGGCATCTGAACAGCTGGCCTGGGTATCAGTCGTAGGCAGTGAGAAAGATGACAGGGTGTTTACGTCACTTAAAGGGAAGCCAAATCCACCATCTCTACAGGTTACAAACATAGTCATGGAAGATGAACTCTCAAACCTGTGTTTCTCTGAGCACAGGAAAGGATTCGGAACAGAAACCTCACATTTATCACTTTATAAATCATTTTTTGCCTCAATTTTTATTAAATTTAAGCACACATACAGACAAGTTTAAAGGGTGACCAATGAGAAACTCTGTATCCACCACGAAGATTCAACAATCATTGATCAACCTACAGTCTCAATTTAAAATATCCCGCAGACAGGATGACTTGTCAACTTAAAACTTCTGCATGCATGATAGGGAAATATAAACTCAAAAGCTTTCCTATTCTAAGAAAAATAATCATACGACATTACCTAATACCTATTCTCATCGTTGTATTTTCCTAAACACCCCCAAATGTCTTTTTACAGTTTTTTTCCTGGCTGCATTTCTCAATAAAGGACCACACTTCGTATGTGGCTGTCTCGGGTGCCTGGGGGAAAAGCCCACTTTTGTTCTAACACACTGGCTATTTGAAAAGAGCAGCTCTACGGTCATTTCCAATGTCTCAAACTCTACTTCTATGACTGTATACTCTAACTTGTTACTCTCAATTCTCTGTAAACAGGAAGGTAAGTGTAGATAAAGAGATTTCTGTAGATTTCTGCTAACTGGTTTTGGCAGTGTAGCACAAATAATAGTGTGCTTCTACAGCCTTGACAGAAGCCACAATGGTTGCTTCCCACATGAAGGGGAACTCTGCCTGCCAGAACTCAGTGTGAAAGCAGGTACTTCTTCTGCATAGCTCAGTAAAGGATCTGCACAGCTGTCTTCTTTTGTGGTTATGCAATGTTCCTTAAATTTTTTTCATGTAGTAGGTAGATTTTACAATCAATCATTTTTTTGCCAGATTTAATGACAATAACAGTTGTTAAATGATTTTTCTAAGCTTATTGGTTTTGTATATAGTTAAAAGATAGCTTTCTTCAAGTAATTTTATGAAGTTTTTCCCATAGCCTTTTGAAAATATTACATCCAATTCTGTTTTGTTTTGTTTTTGATGCGTGAAGCATCCTAAGTTTGACCAAAGGATGCATCTTCAAGTCAGTAATTCTAAAATGATGCTTTATCATAAGGATATACTGTAGGTGCATTTGTATTCCCCCTGTACCAAACATGCAACCAGCCATTTCTTCAAGGAGTCTTGAATCCTTTTGATGGTGAATGGCATTTGCAAACCAAAAAGTGGGCACTGAGCATGCTCATGGCCACTGGGGACGGAAGAAATTCCAAGGTTCATCTGGAGCCTTATTTTTCTTACAAACACACTTAAAGACATAAAACTACTCTGATGAGCCAAAAGAAGTCAATCAAGAAACATGTGCTGAATGCCTGTTTCATTCTAATTCTTTCCTCAGACAGAGGGTCTAATTAATGCTCTTAGGGCAATTTCTAAAATGACAAACCAATGCAGTAAGGAACTAGGACTAGGGGCGATATAAAATATTAAAAGTGATGAGTAGATAGTTTAACATAAAATATTCATCTATAACTTTATACTTAAATCCTAAGGGCTGGAGATATAGCTCAGTGGTAGAACACCTTCTGAGTATGTATAAGGCCCTGGATTCAGTTGTCAGCACTACAAAGAAAAAAGTATTAGAAGTTGTATAATAAAAAGACAGCCTTACATAGAAGCATACCAAAGCAATACCTCCTTCTGGACCTTCGTTTGCTTTTAGAATTTAAGTCGTTATTATAGAAGCAGGTATAATCAGAGACAGAAGAAAAGGAGGTGTGTTCTCAATTCCACTACTAAGACCAAAGCTAGAGGAAACTCTAAAGATAAATGATTACATCACATTACTAGCAATAACATTTGAACAGGTTACAAAACAAACAGTCTTCTTGAGCCTTGAGGACAGAAATGAACCTGTGACTATCATAGATTATCAGAGCTGAAGACCTCGGTTCTTGAAAGGCTATAAATTAAAACCCCTCCTGGTCCTAAAATGCTAACAGATTCATAGCAAGACTCTGTCAACACTGGCCTCTACAACACATAACATACTGTTTGGACGACAGTCTTCCCGCCTGTGTCTGCTCAGGCCAACTTCTACAGTCCTAAGCCTCTGTTCAGCTATACAGAACCAGATCCACTACAAATACAGGAGAGCAAAAGAAAGTTCCCCTTGGGAGAAACATTTAATTTAAAAAAGTAAAATTCTAAATTAGTAAACTGACTATTTTTAATCATTACGGACTATGGAGAAAAAAAATTCCTAAACTCTTTGCGTGTATATGCTTATACATTAGCATACACATGAACACATGTATGTGTGAGTATATACATGTGGCCATTTGCCTATGATGATGCTTTGGTCAATGATAGACAACATGTATCAGAGTGGTCTCATCAGACTATAACTGGCCTGGAAAATTCCCACTTGCCTAATGACATCAGAGCTGCCATGACCTTATAACCATTATAACACCTTAGGCACAATGCAATACTCACTTGTGCAAACAAACCCGCTGTGCTGGCAGCCAGATAACACTGCAGCATATACAACTATGTACAGTACATGACACATGATGAAGGTGACAAACTACATTACTAGTTTACTCATTTCCTATACTATACTTTTATACACATCCTACCAACAACATTTACACCAAGCATGATGGCTCATAACTGTAATCCCAAGATGTGGGAGGATGAGGCAATAAGACTGCAAATTCAAAGCCATCTGGGCTACATAATGAGCTCAAGGCCATCCTAGGCTACATAGTGAGACCCTATCTAAAATAAACAAGCAAACCAATAGAAAATTACTATAAAAAGTATAGATACATGCATGCATAACAATTAGTTAAAAAAAAAGAGGCCATAAATTTGAAGGAGAGCAGGGAGGGATTAAGAGGGTTTGGAGGGAGAAAGGGAAAGGAGAAAAGTTGTAATTAAATTATAATCTCAAAAGACAATCTTTTAAAAGTATGGTATGCTTATCACCTTAAGAGAGCACATTGATTGGCTGACCCAGACCATCTAGGGTTGTGCAAGTGCAATGATGTTCCTATAAACATGAAACTGCCTATGAAGCACTTTCAAACTGTATCCCCAGTTAAGTGACATGACCATATACACATAAGTCATGTGTGTGTATATATGAATATATATGCATACATACACATACACACATATGTTGTAAAAGGGGCACTTCATAAAAGCTTCCTTGTTGATACACAATTATTCTCTTCCTCTGTAGTGGTTCTTTATGAAAAGGAGGTCTCCCTATCCCAGCTCACCACTTTAGGGACTGAGGCCTCATAATTCTTCACATTACCAACTATTTCAGAGAAATATTTCTTGAAAAGAAAATTCATACATGGAAGTTCTTAAAAAGAGATGACTATCTCATGAAACAATGCTTATACATAAGCAACTTACTCATGTGTCATGTTTTTTAAATGAGGCCTTTCAAACTTTTTGTATGAATTAAAAAAATGACAGATTTAAAAAATCTTTTTGTAGTAGTTCTTAAATGGTTGACATCAGCATCCTTTGTATTTTTACTGTTAATTGTCCATGACTTAGTAGTAACTATTTGTTGCAGAAGTAAAAAAGATGAAATCCATTTTGATTTGTATTCTAGTTACTACTCTTCTGGTTGCTGTCTTGGATTAGAGGGATGAATTAAAGTTCTCAGGCTTGTCTCCTCTCAGAAATTTCTGATATGGAGTGAGGGACGAGCCATAGATGAAAGGTGTCCCGTATTCCTTCCATTTGTAGAGCCTTTCCTTCAGGTGGACTTTTTTGTGTCTACAGAGGTTTGACCTATAGCTGTAGGCTTTCCCACACTCCATACACTTGTAGAGCTTCTCTCCAGTATGGATCCGCTCGTGTTCAGTGAGGAACGAATACTGGCTGAAGGCCTTTCCACACTGATTACACTGATAGGGCTTCTCTCCAGTATGGATCCTCTGATGTCGATAAAGGTTGGATTTACAGCCAAAGGCTTTCCCGCATTCTTCACATGTGTACAGCTTCTCCCCAGTATGGATCTTGCGATGCTCATTGAAGGATGAATACTGGTTGAAGGTCTTCCCACATTCATTGCACTGATATGGTTTCTGTCCAGTATGAATTCTCTGATGTTCAATAAGGGTGGAGACACGTGTAAAGGTTCTCCCACACTGTAAGCACTGGCAAAGCTCTTCTCCAGTATGGAGTCTCTGATGTTCAGCTAGGGATGGGAACTGACTGTAGCCTTTTCCGCACTCAGCACATTTATAGGGTTTCTCCCCTGTGTGGATTCTCTGATGTCTGTGAAGCTTTGCTCTGCAATTAAAGGCCTTGTCACACTCGGCACATTTGTAGAGCTTCTCCCCGGTGTGAATCCTCTGGTGCACAGTGAGGGTTGAACACTGGCTGAAGGCCTTCCCACATTCCCGGCAACGGTAAGGTTTCTCTCCAGTGTGCACCCTCAAGTGTTTAATGAGTGTGGAACTGCTGCCGAATGCTTTCTCACACTCACTACACTTGTATGGCTTCTCTCCAGTGTGGGTTCGCTGGTGAGCCAGGAGGGAAGATCTATGGCTGAAGTTTTTCCCACACTCACTGCACTTGTAAGGTTTCTCCCCAGTATGAAGCCTCTTGTGCTCAAGAAGATGAAGACTTTGGGTAAACCTCTTCCCACATTCATTGCAGGCATAAGGTTTTTGTCCTGGGTAAACCTGGAAGCTTCTCATTAAATCAAAATCCTGTGGTAAATCCTTCTCTAGAGTGTGATACATATCGGGTTCCCTTTCTAGGGGATTACTCTCTTGTGAGACAAGTGCTTTATCTGTAAGCAAGGGTTTCCCCAGCTCAGGGTCTGTGGGATTTCCATCTTCACTGACAGTTTCCTTGGGTGATGCTGCCCCCTGCTCATGAACTTTCTTTTCTTGCTCCTGTGTTGTTAGGCTCTCAGATTTCACAACTTTTCCAAAGTTGGTTTTCCAGTGAGCACCCTCAGTGGATTCATGGTTTATTAGTCCATGAGATGCTTCTTCAATAAAAATATCTTGTTTGGGAAGCAATGTTTCTAACTCTGGCCAAATCTGGAAATCTGAAAAGAATTGGAAGAATTAATTCTTCCTTTGCTAGAAGAGAGACATGGATGCATGAGAAGGCCAATGAGATTGGCAGCAACACATATAAAGGAGGTTTGGTGCATCCTGACGCCAAACATGGACCCGAAACTGGAGGGAAAGTAGGATGGCAAGAACTAAATGTACAGTTAAGAAGCAGGGTAGGAGAATAAACTGGACCAATCAATGCAGTTCTAGAGAAACAAAAATTAAGACAGGGAAGACAGAACAGAACAGAACAGAGAAGGATATGGACCATGTGAAATGACAGGCTGATGTAAGCAACCATGGAATTCGCTCCTCAGGCTTTCCTCACTTCCTCTGCAAACACAGGGCAGGCAGGCAGCTCCCTTTACTTTGTTCTACTCACACGTTACTTGCATTATTGCATTTTTTTTCATGCTACCTCTGAAACAGTCAATAATTTAAAAATGTTTGGGCTGTTTTTCTTAAAATTGTGACTTTATATTCAACTGTACATTCATCACAGCCTGAGAGAGGGGAAAGAACTCTGCCAAAAAGATGGTATTTGGATATTAGAAATTGCAACAGCCCCAAACACAACCATGTTTGATCTAAGTTAAATACATTGATCAAAAGGAAAAACTATAGAACAGGTCAGCCATGTGCACCAATCTACATCTCAGACTGAATGAACGGCACGTTTTTCTGGCTATCTCTCATCACTTTCTATCTTTCTGCTAGGCAAATGGAGAAATGCTATTTTCATTTCTTCTATAATTGGAACCAGAAGACTATAATCTCTTTGTAGGAATCTTATGAGAATAATGAAAATCTGTAAGTTTTGTGAAGTCAGTTTGTCCTGAAGGTCTGAATATGCCCAACCCCAAGTTCAGCTCTGACTCTATCGTTCTTTACTCAATCCATACTGAAAATGGATTAAGGTTACACCATTGCATTGAGATGGCTGCATGGCTCATTACTTACAAAATGTCACTGTTGCACTGCCCTTCCATGACATACTCATGCAGATCCCTGCGTCTCTATTTCCCAGTGGCTCACTCACCTCGGCAGGTGTCTTTGCGATCTTTTTTGGCCATGCAGGGATCTTGTCCTTTCTGCAGTTTGCCAATCACCCAAGGTATTGAAAGCTGGATCCCTGCTCATGAGAAAGGGAACAGAGTTGGGATGAATGGCCTGAAGAGCAATCTCAGAGCCTCTTCAGATACCACTCAACAACAGGGAAGGTCAGTCTTAGACGGTGGGACACACAGTGTAATCACTTCCCCAGGGCAATGAAGATTAGGGCATGGGGAAACAAGCAAGGGCCGATTCAAAATTACTACATGGTTCTGGAAATGAACTTCTCTGAGACAGGGTATGCCTGTACAGTTTTCAATAACATCTAAATGTCTTAGATGAATTTCAGACTATCAGACTACATAAACTGGGATGCAGTCACTGGCCTGTGTCAGAAAACTGGGAGCAAGATGCAAGGAAGGGCAAAGAAGGGAGAAAAAAGCATAAACAGTATGAGAGAAAAACAGACTTTCACTCTTCAGAGATGTGACTTCCCCTGCAGCACAATGGGGTAGAAAACAGTGGGTTCTGAACCCAAAGAAGCAGCTTCATGGTACGGGAGAATTGTCTGTATTTTGTCAATCATGTTTTAAATAAACACTAATTGGCCAGACAAGAAGTATAGGCGGGTCAACCAGACAGAAAGTAAAGGCAGGGCGATGAGAACAGAACACTGGAAAGGAGAAAGCCCATTCCTCCCACTCCTGCCCAGACTCCAAAGAAACAAGATGTGAGCTGCCCTACTGAAAAAGGTACTGAACCATGCGGCTAACATAGATTAAAACAATGGGTTAATATAGGCTACAAGAGCTAAACTAATGGGCCAATCAATTTTATAACTTATGGAGATCTCTGTGTGATTTTCTTTGGGGCTTGCCGGCTGTGGGGTACTGGGCGGGACAGAAACCCCAACAAGCAGGCCCCGATTGTGTTACAGCTTCAAGATGTTCTAATACATTGTTTAGAAGCAAACCACTTACCTAGGGAGGCCAGGTTGCTGTAGTTCTCCAGCATCACCTCCCGGTACAAGGTTCTCTGTGCAGAGTCCAGATGCAACCACTCATCCTGGCTGAAGAACACGGCCACATCCCTGAACGTCACAGGCTCCTGGAACAGCAAACCCATTCCTGCTTACCCTAGAACAACAGTTCTCAACCTGTGGGTCACAACCTGGGGGTGGGGGCTGAATTGCTTTCACAGGGGTCACATTTCAGATACCCTGCATAACAAATAGTTACATTACAATTCATAATGGTACAAAATGACAGTTATGAAGTAGCAACAAAAATAATTTTATGATTAGGGGTCACCACAACATGAGGAACTGTATTAAAGGTTATTACATGACCTTTATTATTTATTATTAAAGGTATTAATGAATCAGGAAGGTGGAGAAGCACTGTCACAGACCATCATCATCATCATCTGGATGAAGGTAACACTGGGTGCATACCAAGAAATTCTGATACTATCTCAGGATACTAGTATTCTGAATCATCTAGTTATGTAATTTCTCGGTAATAGTTATTAACTATTTTACTAAGCAAGTATTTATTAAGAACCTAGTAGAATCAAAGATATATGACACCAGCTGTGGAGGTTAGGGATTAGAGGGGGCAGAGTCCCTGACAGTAGGGAATTAAACTCCCAACCTAAAACTTTATAGTGTTTCTAAGCAAGCACAACCTTCTTTCACTCAGAATCCAAGCAACAGAGAGAACAATATAAATCAGAATACATGTAGAGCAGTGCAGGAAAGTTGAGGAAAATACCAACCGAACACTAAGAAACCCCTTCTTCTAAAACATAGTTTAGTGAGTATGTTAGGGATTACAGTAGGAACTTTGCAAACACTATCACCTTTAAATCTTATGAAAACCCTTTAAGGACAAGGCTATAGTTACAGCATTTTGCAAGTGGAAAAACATGTCTAGAAAGGTTAAATAACCTAGGTCAGGAAGTTGACTCAGTGGGTAAAGGCACTTGCCTCCCAGTCTTAACAACCAGAGTTTGATGCTGAGTACCCACATGGTAGAAGAGAACAAACGTCTACAAGTTGTCTTCTTACCCCAAAACTTGTGCTGTGTCTCAGACATACATACTCAATAAATAAATAAATAAATAAATGGGTTAAGTAACCTTCCTGAGAGAATATTAGAAAAAAAAAGGTAGAACTAGGGTTCGAGTTCAGGTAAGCAGACCTCTAAGCTACTATCAGGTTTCTATTCAATGTGAAAGTCAAAAGAACCATAGGATTTGTAAAACTGTATAGATGTCAGACTGTCATTAAGAAAGTAATTTCAGCCTGGCAGTGGTGGCGCACGCCTTTAATCTCAGCACCCAGGAGGCAGAGGCAGGTGGATCTCTGTGAGTTCAAAGCCTGGTCTGCAGAGTGAGTTCCAGGACAGCCAGGACTACACAGAGAAACCCTGTCTCAAAAAAAAAAAAAAAAAAAAAACAGAAAAGCAGGCTAGAGAGATGGGTTAGTGATTAATAGCACCACCTGCTCGTCTAAAGGTCCTGAGTTCAGTTCCCAGCAACCACGTGATGGCTTACAACCATCGGTAATGAGATCTGGTGCCTTCTTCTGGCCTGCAGGCATGCATGTAGGCAGAATACTGTATACACAATAAATAAATAAATCTTTTTAAAAAAATAGAAAAGTAATTTCTTACAAAAGAAACGTAATCCCCAAATACAAGAAAGCACAAGTGAAGGAAAGAGATTCTTGTATAATAGAGATGAAGCTTTAGAACAATGTTATGGGTATTTTACTGAGAATCCATCAAAACGGGAAAAGTATATCATTTTATTTTAACCTTGCACTTTTACTAGTGGGACTGATTCCATCACAAGAAATACTCTCACCACTATGGAGGGACATTCCTCCAGAATGGTCCCTGGCAGGCAGGTTCCTGAACCTGTGAATGTGATGTGCATGACAAAATGGACTCTGGAATTGTCTACTTCATGGCTGTGAGATAGGCAGACTACCTAGATTATTATGCAGGTAGAGCTGTAACGACAATGTCATATAAGAAAGACTCAAGGGGCTGGAGAGATGGCTTAGAGGTTAAGAGCATTGCCTGCTCTTCCAAAGGTCCTGAGTTCAATTCCCAGCAACCACATGGTGGCTCACAACCATCTGTAATGGGGTCTGGTGTCCTCTTCTGGCCTTCAGGCATACACACAGACAGAATATTGTATACATAATAAATAAATAAATATTTAAAAAGAAAGACTCAGATGTAAGAGAAGCCTGTCTGATAACACAAGCCAAGACTGAGGTGATGGAACTAACTTCTAGACAGTGAAGAGGACAAGGAAACAGATTCTCCCTCTCAGTTTCCGCCCACAACCAGCCCAGGAGACCGACAGCTTGACAATAAACTAGAGTAAGACTTCTGACTTTCAGAACTGTGAGGCAATCAACTTGTGCTGTTCTAAACAATGAATCAGTGGTAAATGTTACACAGCAAAAAACAAACAAACAAAAAACAGAGGATAAGGGTAACCTACATGCTTATTAATAAGGCAATGAAAAGGCAAATGATAATACATGTTACATAAAATACATAGTCATTAGAAGAGTGGGGTAAATTTGGACACCTGACACTAGATTTGATCTTAATATACTACTGCTACAAAGCAATCTTTTGTAAAGTTCTATACATATATACACCTATGCAGGGTTCACACACAACACCCGGAACACTTCCCTAATTATTTTCTGGTGTTTATGGAGAGGGGCAGAAAAGCAGTCCTTCATTACTTTCTTAACATCCTCACAATTTTTTCTATGTGTTTGTTTCTTCCTTTCTTTCAAATTTGTTTTCAGTGCTGAAGATGAAACTCAGGGCTTCACTCATTTTAAATATGCACTCTACTGAAGTCTGCCTATAACTTAGGCAAACTAGGTTCATTCCTATTTATGATTTAATCTCTGTTTCTCAAGGACTTGGCTATGCCCCACCTGTAACCTTAACTATCAATGGGTCTGTACTGCCTGTTCTAGGAATGGCAATCATGTCTTTGTTTTGAAAGGTTATATGACCACCTTGCTATGACTATCTGTTGTCATGACTACCTTGTTATGCTGCCCACCTTGCAACCAAGTCTTTGGTTCATGAGGGACTAACTTGTTAAATTTATGTTCTGCTCCTGTAACCCCGCCTATTTTGACCACCAAATCACCTACTTGGAAACCCCCTACCCTGAGTTATAAAAGCCTATTCTTCTCTATATCCAATGCAGGCCTCTCAAACTCTGCCTTAGTGAGAGGCATCCCTTGTACATGAGGAAAACACCTCGCTTTAATTAATTGCTTGTTTTAATTAATTGGTCATGATGATTTGGGTCAGTAGTCTTTCTCCTCACATCTTTGGGATTAGCACTATCATTGAACTACACACCTAACCCCTGAATTATTTCAGGGTACAATTTAGCTCAGTGGCAGAATACTTACTTGCCGGGCATACATGGGGCCTAGGTTCAGTCCCCAGTAACCACAAAAACATCCAGAATCTAACTGAACGTCTAAACCAGCTTTTCTATTGTACCTTGCTATGGTCTGGGTGTGAGATATCCTCTACGTGCTCATGCGTCTGAACACTCACCTAGTCCCCAGCCTAGGGCACTGTTTTGCGAGACTGTAGAATTTTGAAGCTGTGGCCTCGCCAGCAGAAGTGGATCACTAGGGTGGGCCCTGGAGAAATCTCATTCCAGTTAGGGTTTCTCCTTTCAGATCTATCCAGATGTGAACAAGCTCTACTCAACACTACCACTGTCGGAGACCAATCTACTCTTGCTATCCCTTTTCCTGCCATGATGAACTATAGTCCCCAAAACCGTGATTCAAGAAATTCTTCCTCTTTTAAGTTGCTTCTGTCAGATACCCTGTTCTAGCGACAAGAAAAGCTAATATATACTTCTTTGCATTATTGGTGGTTTCTCTAGAATTACAGCATTCTTAGTTCTTCTCTACAGCAAACATATTCTTCAAAGAGTAGCAGAAACTTGCAAGTATAGCAAACATCGCCATCTCTTCTTTATGTTATGGCTATGGGGTTTTCCTAGTTACAGGACTGCACCAATCATACTCCTGTACAGCTTCCAATTAGAGGAAAAGGAGGCAGCACAGCAAGACTGAGTGAGGACGCCAAGATTCCGCTGCAATCCTCCTTAACAATACACAGACCTTACACCAGTATCCCTGGATCTGTGTGGAGCGACTTGGGTTGAGGAGCCCTCAGAGGAACTCTTACTTACCCAGTCACCTTTCTAATGCTCTAACCTGAATTCCCAGCTAGCACAACTTCCTCTTAGCTACCAGAACTTTCTACAGTCTTTCTTGTTCTGCTGGCAACAAGCAAGCTAAATTTCCTTGTGTCTGGGAATGTCTTCATTTTGCCTTCATTCTTGAAGACAGTCTTCAGTGGATACAGACTGAGTGACAGTTTCTGTCTACGTATGAAAGCCATTTGACTTTTTCTGGACTCTGGTTTCTGATGAAAAGTCAATGGCCACCATTTCTCTCTGTGTAACAATTTTTTGGTCTGCTTTCAAATTCTTGTTTTTTGTAATTTGCCTATGACTGTTCAGTTCAATATGATGGACAGCAGTCATGAGTGGCCATTACCACAAACTGTGGCTTCTCTAAGTGATATGTGCTGTGTATTTAAACATTTAACAGATTGGTTTACTAAGTGTGTGTGTGTGTGTGTGTGTAAAGACACACACATATATACAAATGTAAGCATAAAGATACATGCATGTACACACAAACACTCAGTACCTTGATAATTTTATATTGGTTACATGCAAAATAATGTTTGTATAAAGTGTATTAAATAAAACATTAGATTACTTGCGCCTGTATTTAATATTTAGACACTTGGACTACATGTATGGTTCACACACTACTGCCAGTGATGGGTGACTCTTATAAAAACTTCCTTCTCTCAAAATTCTCCCTTACAACTGCAAAATACATTTCACTCCCTAGATTCTGTAAGTTATATAACCACGTTCCTGGTGGGTGGGTATTTATGTCCATATTTTCTATGTGTATATGTATGTGCATATATTTATATTTGTGCACATGTGTG